GCACACATGCCAGGAGAGCACGCTACCGCTTGAGCCACATCCCCAGCCCCCAAGTGAACATTTGATAAGGAGATTAATAGGGACAGATGGAACTCATCAAGAGGATGGAAGAGTAATCCTGAAGGCATTTTGGAAATCTTTGAGGTTCTTCTGCCCTTCACAGGCTAGGGTGCCAGGGCCTTGATGAATGATTTCAAGGTACTGCCTCCTATAACCTCCTCAGTTCCAAATCTCATTCTTGTGGCTATACATGATGTTAAATCCCACTGGTTGTAGAGTTATACATGTGCACAAGGTAATAATGTTAATAATGTCTGATTCATTCTACTATCCTTCCTATTCCCATACCCCGTCCCCTTCCCTCTTCACCCTTCATTCCCCTCTACCTAATCTAGTCCCGAAGTCTTAACTCATTCCAACTTCAACTTTAAATTCTTAGTCGAAGTATCTTCTATGTATCAAAATGTGACAGAACTCCTTTTAAAATAAAAGCCCCAAGTTAGTTTTTGTCCCCAGATTCCTGGCAAGTTATTTTTCTCTCTGAACTTCCTTATGCTGAGAATGGAAACCAAGAAGCTACCCCATGGCCTAAACAGGAATTGTGATATATTCTCTGGCTAGCACAGCCTGCCTAAATCTACATATGTATATTCCTTGGTTTTTACTTTTAATATATTGTAACTGCTTCTATAGGACCAGCAGAGACAAATTAGCTGCTTCTCTCCAGTTTTGTCCAAACTCTATTAAACATTCATTTTCCCTTTTTATATCACTCACTTATTTCTTATGTGGGTGGGCAACTGAATCCAGCCAGCTGAGATACAGACAGATTCTCTGGTTTGACTGCTGGTAACAAATTCATTCTAGACATGGGTAAAATTAAAGGAACGGATTCATCATGACCCTACTGCTTTCCAACTATGAGCCTATGAAATTAAACAAGTTATATGCTTCTAAAATATAACAGTGAGACAGGTGTACAATAGATATTTTCATTCCAAAATGGAGAAATAGGAAAGAAGGAAGGAAGGAAGAGTAATAGATCCCAAATAATCAAAAATTCAACAGGG